GCACGACTGAGGAACACACACAACATGCACTGGCGGATGTGCGAGGAAGAAGGTAAAACAGTCTGTCATTGCAACATCCTCTACGTAGCAACATTCAGCGTTGTCCTTTGGGAAACAAGCATCCTGTAGGAAAGGAGAGAGTGAGAGAGAGAAACAGTGTGTGTGTGTGTGTGTGTGTGTGTGTGTGTGTGTATGAGTGAGGGGGGGGGGGGGGTGTGAAACAGAGAGAGAGAGAGACCCAAAGTGACGAGAATGAACTATGCCTGAAGTTACCACATGTATGCTTATCCGTCACGCACGCGCATGAACGCACACACACACACACACGCACACACTCACGCACACGCACACACACACACACGCACACACTCACGCACACGCACACACACACACACACATGGAAATTGATCAGGCAGCAGTTTTAGCGTAGGTAATCAAGCACACTGAGGACGTCATGATGGCTGAATCTTGCCCGTGCCTGCAGCCTATTAGTAGGGCTGTAGGCACGAGGGCTGTAGGCAAGATATCATATACAGACATTCATATCAACAATATCGGTAGGGAAGACGAAAAGGAAAAGTGTCAAAGCATGCCATGCACTGGGTGATCTAAGAAGTACACAGCTCCGGGATAGAGTGCGCTTGATTTGATTTCTTACAACATACTAAAAAAGGTCAAAGGCAGGAAGGTCTAAAGCTCGAATTATTCCCCAAATGACGTCAAGCGGGGCCTGATTATGACCGCGGCGGGAAGACCGCCTATTGGCCATAGCCTAGGCAACGGTCACATGTCATGTAAGAAGGTGATGTCACCGGTGACAGAACATGACGTATAATCATGCTCTAGCCCTTCACTACTCTAGAGGAGCGGAATGCATACCTATGCTCTAGCCCTTCACTACTCTAGAGGAGCGGAATGCATACCTTTGCACAGCTGTCCAGCGGCAGACCGCTGTTCACACATTGCACAATCAGACGCCTGCACTCGCTGTACTGCAATCCGGTATCATTGGCACACTGGCCGCTGAGACGATGCTGTGTTGAGAGCAATGTGCTTTGCGCCCTGCCAGTGACACAGGGAAACATAGGCAAGAAACACAAAGCTTCAGTACTACAGTAGCGAACAGGAAAATACCAATTGACAACGGAATTTTCAGATACAGTGTAGTTTAGTCTGAAATTTTCACCGCGCGGGACTCAAATGATTCGATACAACTCCCTCGCGCAAGCCCGCTGGAACCGGTCCGGTTTGTCAGGTGACCACGAACACGTGTGTACACAGCTGAGGAGGTCATGTTTGCCTGGCTTATCATATGCAAAAATAATATTGAAAGACAGTCGACTCCTGATATCACAAACACAACTGTGCAGGACAATCAGTTCCTTATAGATGCAGTTCCTTATAGCTGCAGTTCGTTATAACTAGGGCTGAGTCGGGTATCGGGTCCGGGTAGTTTTCCACGGGTAGTACGGGTACCCGATCGGGTAATGTTTCCATGGAAAGACCACAAATGGCACAATGCACACCGGCACCTTCCCTTGCACACTGGGTAGACATGCGTGAATTATTTGTACATGTGCACTGTACATTATGTCATCTGCGACTTCGGGTTTTCGGGTACTATTCGGTACCCGTCTACCCGAGGTCCTCACGGGTAGCACGGGTACCCGACTACCCGTGCACACCACTAGTTATAACAGATATGAACTCTACACTGTGGGTTCAAACGGGGACTTGGACAACAGGTACTGTTCGCTATATCTCAAAAGTCGCTATATGCGAGTTCGTTATAAGTGGAGTCGATTGTAGTATGGCATGACTGAACCAAAACAAAAAAATTCACGGTTCGCGTAGGAACGCCACCACCCTTCAAGGGTCAAGGCACAGATGCAGCTCCTAAAGCGTTGGGAGGTGTGTAGATCAGACTCACCACAAAGTGGTCAAAGACCAAAAATCCCATTCACTGTATCCATGTTTTGCTCGTGCCAGGCCACGAGGTCCCAATTAACTCTGGGTCGAAGCACGGCTGGAAAACAACCTTCCGCTTCCAAACAGGACTTGAACCTGGTCCCCTCTGTTTCTCAATCATGGTCTTAGACCATCCCACTATGCCTGTCTGCGACCAATCATAAAATGAATTGCCTCCAGCGCTCCTATCGATTTCATTCCAGATTCGGTTCTCACGTACGAATCCATGAGACAGCAAAACAAGGTCAGTGCACGAAACACAGAGCCATAGCTAAGTGCTTGCTTGTGCTGCTCTCTATGTATATGCGGAACAGATATACATGAATAGTCATGCTAGGCATGCTACAGACATCCATACCAACAATATCGGTGGTGAAGAAGAAAAGGGAAAGTATTCAAACCTGCAATGTACTGGGTGATCTAAGAAGGACACGACCCAAGGATAGAGAAACCATGACGACGACTTAAGAGTAAATCAAGGCACAAAGAGGTTTGCAGAACACACACACACACACACCTGGTCCTGGTATACACTGCCATGTAGGTCACGTGTTTCTCGTTGAGCGAGACGGAGACGAGAGGAGACATGAGCGTTGGTGACGGGATAAGTCGTTTCGCCTTTTGAAACGCCTCTGGCAATTCTGACATTGCAATTGGAACTTGTCCCTTTCATCAGCAGTTGGGCGCCTGGTGGATCGGTTGCAGTTGTGGATAGCAAAGCCCCGGATCGACTTGCAGCAACGTTCACAAATGGGACAGTGAGCGGTACAGCACGGTTTCCGAATACATAGGCGTACAGGTGAAGAGCTTGTGGCATTGGCAACATTCGGGGCAGAATTGGACTGGACACAGCGATGGACTGCAATGCCACCCGCACTCCGAAACCATCACACACACACACACACACACACACACACACACACACACACACACACACACACACACACACACACACACACACACACACACACACACACACACACAGACACAGACACAGACACAGACACACAGCCCCTGCCCCCCCCCCCCACACACACACAGAGCTGGCAACTCACCCAGTTGTGCAGCAGCCATATTCTCCGCAGCATGACGTGGCGCATGCCGGATCTCCCGCACGAGGGCATTGCACGTGCAGTGTACAGGGAACAGTGACATTGACTTGAGTTGGTACTGTACACACGCACACACGCACACACGCACACACACACACACACACACACACACACACACACACACACACACACACACACACACAATACACAACACAAGACAACCAGTCTAATCTGACAACTAGTGAAGGTAGCTCAACGTCCTGCACTGCTGGAACAGAAGAAAGACCAATGATGCAGTTGACAAGGAAACTACTTGCCACAAGGTAGCAGGGAATACCTTGAAGCTTGTAGAGAGCATCTGATTAAGCTGGGAAGTTGAATGGGTTACACTGGCTACAGAGCCCAGGATTTATACAGGGCTACTGAGTGTGGACAGTGAGGCGCAGTTTTACACCTAGCACTGGTGGCGCTACCACTACGCGCCAAGCAAGGTGTGAACCACACATCTAGGGCCACAGCAGCCAGACGTGCCAACACAAATGGGAACGCCAACCAGCAGAGCTTGAAGAGCTGGCTGGCACTGCAAGCACAGTCAACTTTGCTAATAACGACTGCGGATATAACGACAATACTGCATCAGTACAATTTTTTGTTCGGAATTAACTTTCGCTATATTCCTTAGGGGCACGAAATAACTAAAGTTTGTACGAAACTAAAGTTTTTTTCTGAACGTTCGGGTGACTGACCTCGACCAAAACGAAATTTAATACGTAACATAACGTAACTTTTTTTTGGCAAAGTGTACTGACAGTGACCGGTTAGAGATTTTATCGCTCTGGATTGGAGGTGTCTCTCTGCAGATTGAGAGCCGATTTTGATTTGAAGTTTTGGATGTTGGCGTCGTGGACCACTACCCGGCCACTTGTGGACACGCCATTGCTGTGGAGTATTTCCTTCCCTCGATATTGCAGCGTGAAAGAGGCTGGTTTGGCTTTTCGGCGGCCATTGTTTGCTGCGTCTTGCTGTGTCTTCTTCCTCCTGCGCTACCGAGGTCGGTCCCAGGCGTGAAGGCGTTGCTGGCACTAGCCAGCGTCCGAACACTTCCTGCTGGAGTGGTGTTCAGAGGCAGTCACGTGATGGCGCTAGATCTTAATATTGACCTGGCGATCCTGGAGTTTTCGCAGCTTCAGAAACTAGCTGAGCAGAAGGACATACCTAATTCGTGTGACCTAGCACGCTCAGACTTGGTTGCTACTCTACGCGAAAATGGTATTGGCACTTATCCCCCAGGTTCAGCGCCCAGCCAATTCCCTGCCTGTGGTGAGAAGTGCCTGCCATCAATGGTACCTTGCCTTGAGAAACTTCAGGATTGCAGCATCGCCAGTCTAACACGTGAACTTGCTGCAGTTTCAGCAACCAGAGATGCAGAGCTAACGAGCTTGCGAAATGATTTAATATCCACACGGGAAAAGGTGAACCAGTTGGAGAGCGTTGTTTGCTGCGGTGTGTTAGTCCTGCCTTGCAGAACTCAGAAGACCATGCTTCTGGCTGGAGCAGCTCAATGCTCACATACGTCATCCCTCCAAAGCGACAAAGCATCAACAGTAAAAGAGAATGGACAGCAAGCCAACACACCAGACGTTCCTAGACCATATGCCCAAGTTCTAGCAAATGGGCTCATGGCCGAAACTTCTAGTAGTGCCAGTACTGCCGATGAGGACGACGTATCCTTTCAGCCTGTCATGTCAAGGAATCAGCGCCGTCAAGCCAAGAGGATGACACGGACCCAACCTCACCCTACTGAAATAGAAGAGGTTGGACTCCCTGCAAACAAACAGGCAAAGGAAGAAGCACCACAAAGAAATCCCATCCGTCGCCAGGTATCATCATGTTACGCCAAACCGAACCAGAATGTCCCTGGTTCAGTTCCGTCTCTGGATGCTGCACCCCGCAGTCTGCGAAAGGTCTTCTACTTGGGAGATATTCCGTTTGGTTGTGAGGCAGCGAGTATAGCAGACTGGTACAGGGAACGCGGTGTTGAAATAGTGCAGTGCATCATATACTCCTCCGAATATTTTTGAACTGCCTCCGCCAGAGTGACTGTCGAGGGTAAGGATGCCGATACTGTATGCTGGCACACCTTCAGGCCAAACACAATGGGTCATACCGTGAGAGAATGGCGTTTCTATTCTGACCAGCCCACCGGACAATATCTCTCACAATGAATAGTAACCTTGTCTTCCCCAACACTACTGGAACACTGAATCCACTGGCCCGTCCCTTTTATCCTCCCATCCATACTGCCCTTACCATCCTTTCCCTGAACTGCCGCTCAGTGGTCAACAAAGTAGCGGAACTCACTGTTATGTGCAACATCTACTCTCTGGAGGTTATATGTTTGAGTGAAACATGGTTGTCCCCTGCCAACCTCTTCTCATTGGCAGGCTACACAGTTCATCGACGGGATCGCCCCACCTCTAATATTCGATCGGCCAATCCTACCAGAGGTTATGGTGGGGTAGCCATACTGGTGAAAGATGGCTCCTTTACATCGGTGAAGCCTCTGGTGAATCTTCAGCAACCAGGCTTGGAGGCCATCTGGCTAGAGCTTCGCACAGCCAACTCACCCCAACGTCCACTCATAGTCTGCGCCACCTACCGACCTCCTGGTGGTACCCTGGAGGATATCCAGGCCTATTCTGATGGTCTGGAAGACTGCCTTCTGTCACTTAATCTATATGTATCCACACTACTCCTCACCGGTGACTTCAATGCCCATAACTCGAGCTGGTTGGCTGGTGATCGGACAACCCCGGTGGGTCAGTGCCTTGAAATCGCCTTCAGTAGTGACTACAACCAATTTCCAAAACTTGCTCCGATCGCTTCGATTTTGGTATCATTCGATTCTCCCAGGCGTAGTACATAGGAAATCTGCAAGTATTATTCAAATCGGCCCAGCCATTCTTGAGTTATAGTCATTTGAAGTGCGCCAAGTTGGACGTTTGCTGGAAACAGAAATGAATGGGAGTGATGGGAGAATCGAGAACGACCGCACAGTCAGTGCATGCAGTACAGTGTACAGTGCACACGCCTCGTCACTCGAACTGCGCGTACGAAATTGCATACTTCGGTATGCTGGCGCAGAACAGATTCGCTCGTATAGGAAGACGAAAGCGTCTCACCACCTTGTAATTTCACATGGCCAGTAATTTTTCGACGCTGAAGACGATGGAATAGTCCGCGACGCTGCGACCCGACCAGAACAACCCGAAATTCATACCCTGAAAAAGCGCTGAGCGCAGCGGCTCCTAAATTTTGTCGTATGGAAACGGGACTTCGGGTCTCAAGGGCACGAACATCTCCTCTCTCAGATAAAGCAATTCACTCGATGCGATATTCTACAATTTGACCTGGCCACGCCGAAATGCACTGCCATGTCGGATTCTCCCATCGGAAGTATAGAAACTTGTTTCCAAAAAATCAGCGTCTGGGTGCGAGGGAGTAAAGTCACTACCTTCAGGTGCTTCGGATTAGAGCAACTGGTCAACTTCCCTACGCACTGGAGCCCAAGTGGCCGGTCATCTTGCTTGGACCTCATCGTCACAAATTCACCCAAGCAGTTCCTCTCCGTTGATTCAGCCGCTCCACTGGGTAGCTCTGACCACGTGCAGCTCATCTGTCGAGTTCGTCTCCCTGTCGCGTCCAAAAATCCAACCCTACAACATCACTTCTTCCCAACATCTACCCCTACACCCCCAGGTTACAATTTCAAGTTGGTGCCACGTTGCGTATGGGATGACCTGAATGCTGAACTTGCTGATGTCCACTGGAAATGTCACCTCCGCAGCTCGCACGTGGATGACGCTCTTTCGTCTTTCCACTCTATTCTTAGCAGGGCCATGGAGAAGCACCTCGGGTACTTCTCCTGGCGTCCACTCTCCCCCTCATGCCGACGTTTAGGTCAGCCACCTTGGGTTGATGCCCCCCTCCGTGCCGCCATTAAGGCAAAGCACGATTTCTACAGTGTGTGTAAGAAATACCCAACCCAGCTTAACATGCATGTATATCGATCTCAACGGAACTTGGTGAAGAGTCTGACTCGATCGAAATACCGGGATACATTCGGTCCGTACAAGCTACGCTGCAGGACAAAAACCGCCCATCACTGTTTCAGTTCGTGAACAAATTAAAAAATCATAAAGTATCTCGTGACATCCCGACACTCACCATTAGTTCTACGCAGCAGGCTACTACCTCTTCAGCTAAAGCCACTGCATTGAACTCTCAGTTCGCCTCAGTGGCCGTGCCTGATGACCCTTCTCTACCCATTCCCCCCATTGCTGAGGAGTCGGGTGAGGTTGACCGCCTCACATCTGTCTTTACTACGACTGTTGCCATCCGACGTTACATTCGAAAGCTCCCGTCTGACAAGGCGCCAGGCCCAGACGGCATCACTAATCTGGTATTACAGTCCCTCACTGGTCGTTTTCCCTCTGCATGGAAAACAGCTAATGTCATACCGATCTACAAGAAAGGGTCCCGCCACGAAGCATCAAACTACCGTCCGATATCTCTACTGTCCTGTGTTTCCAAACTCTGTGAGCGCGTTTTCTACGACCAATTGTACTGTCATGTCTCGTCACGTTTGAGTTCAGCTCAGTCCGGATTTCGCAGAGGCGATTCTACCACCCTCCAGCTGACGCGCCTGGTGCAATTAGTGTGTCGGCATCGGGATGCTGGAGATCTAGTCGGGATCTGTTTTTTCGATCTTGCCAAGGCCTTCGACACCGTCTGGCACCGGGGGCTTTGGGCCAAGCTTCGTGGATCATTTACTGTAGACGGCAATCCCCTGCTATGGCTGACATCTTACCTAACTGGGCGAACGCAGTACGTCACGGTACATGGGACGTCCTCAGCCGACACAACAGTACTATCAGGAGTTCCCCCGGGTTCCATCCTCGGCCCCCTTCTTTTTATCTTATACGTCAATGATCTGCCCGCAGCTGCCCCGGGCACATCACTGTTCGCAGACGACACAACGCTCCTACGGGCATCTTCTAACATCACTGGCCTGATGAGTAACCTAGCTAACGGGATTCAAAGAGTAATTTCTTGGATGTCGTCTTGGCGGTTATTGCCCAATCTGTCTAAAACTAAAATCATGCTCTTTCCTTCTCAGCCCGATATTCCGCCCCTCCTCCATCCCACTTTCCCCCAGCCTATAGACATAGTCTCCAGCCATAAGCATCTTGGCATTTTCATTGACTCTAATCTTTCATGGGAACCCCACATCGATTACATATGTAAACGATCAAGTTCATCTTTAAGAATCCTCTCTTCTCACTGTTACCATCGCCCAATGTCTTGTAAACTCCTCTCTTACAAAGCTTACCTACGCCCCATTTTTTGATTATGCAGATACTGCTTGGGCTGGAATTTCCACAACCCGTGCTGCCAAGCTCGAAATTCACCACAAAAAGTTCTCAAAATCCTCCTCCGAAAACCCCGCATGCTCCCATCTTCCACCCTTTATGCCCTTGCTGACACTACCCCTTTGTCTAAGAGACGTAATTCACATCTTGTCACCCTTATCCATTCTCTCAAACTCAATCTGTGTCAACCTCACCTCCACTGTTTCAACCGGTTCTCTTCCCGTAGCACGAGAAACTCCCTTTCCCTTCCGAAACCTTAGTCCTCCTTTCTACTTCACTCTCCCTTTTTCACTGCGTACTCTGCGTGGCTGGCACTTCCCCAAGAAGCTAAGGACCTTTCTTCCCTCCGCCCTTTTAAGAGCCTTGTCGCGCCTTGACTTTGATTTTGTGTTTCTCATTTTGTTGCAATCACTGCTTATCCATGCCGGTTCCTTTTTCTTCTCCTCCCCTTCTCCCTTCCTTGCCGTGGTTGGCTAACACCCTCTCTCTTTGTATTGGCCGGTGTTCTCACTGTGCTATGAGATGCCGTGGTAAATAAATAAACAAGCCTGGTGGTGGAGTGAAATAACGAAGGGTTTCGTGAATGAAAATTTGTACTTATACATGTACAATACGCGAATAATGACAGAATTTCCATGCCCAGAGCAAAGCCCCATCCAGCTGTAATACATAATTATAATGAGACTTCGGGTATAAGGACACTTTTCTGATGCCCCGCCGAGTGTCGTTTTGAGCGAAGTTGACTGTAGAATGTGTACATACATCACGGCATACTTTATAAGCAGAAGTATTCGTCTGGAATTTCATTTAGTCTTTTTCGTCCAAGGAGCTTTTAGACTAAATTAAATGCCGGACTAATATCGATTTTCCAGCTTTTCAGTACACTCTTATGGTCCATGGACTAAATTTTACCTTCTTTTTTTTAATACAGTTAAGGTTAGATCTAAAGCCGCCATTGCCAGAAAATGTTGATCAGTACCCAGTGTCACCAGTAATATGCCAGGAGTGGCTTTCATGACATACAGCCATGTACATGTTCTTCACACTGGAGCTCGCGCTATTCCGCCGACTTTACTTGACACTTGACTGACTCACGACTGCCATCCAGAGCACACGAGAAGTCCATCGAACCTTCGACTCGCCAAACCTGCAAGAAAGCACCACTCCCTGCTCAATACACAGTGTTTCGGGGAATTCACCCCTCATCAGTTGATCTTGAGTGGGCTGAGGAAGATTGCGCAATCTTCCTCAGCCTACTCAAGATCAATAGCCTACTCAAGCTCAACTGATGAGGGGTGAATTCCCCGAAACACCGTGAGTCAGTCAAGTGTCAAGTAAAGTCGGCGGAATAGCGCGACCTCCAGTGTGGGGAGCAAACCCTTTCTTACGAAACATCGCCGAAGTCGCAACCACAATTTCGTACATGTTCTTGTAGTGGAAATTGGGGCTTTTTTCTTGCCTGACTTTGTGTGGTCATATCCAAGCCTCACAATCGTCATTCAAAATTCAAGGAAATAAACCGTACGTTCTCACAAGGAGACAACCGGATGGGGAGATGGAAAAGACAGGATAGGGAGAACGAAAAATTGATCGGGATATTTGTTTTATTCTTGCGACCCTTTTCACTGATTAGGGCCACACTACGTGATTTCATGGTGTTTCCTAGCATAGTCAGAAAATCACTTATTGACTTAGAAGTGGCACTGTACTAGCACTGTGCGCTGGACTCACCTGCTCCAGCCTCGCAGGGTATGACCAGCAGAATCAATAGCAGCAGCAGGAGCAGCAGGAGCGTCGTCGTGCAAGTGCGTGGTACTCGTCCAAGTGCTGACCATGCACGGCATCCTAGGAATGGGCTGGCGTTGCCGATGACCGTGCAGTCCGCGCGCTGCCGAAGACCAGTTGGCCAAGACATTCCTCTGCCGGTTTTGAAGAGCCACTTGGTATCCAGCTGACTGAGCATGAGCTTGGCTGCTCTGCAACACTCTGCAAACGTTCCTCTACTTGCACGAACACTAAGAAAGCGCCGTGGACAGACTGGAGGAGAAAGATCGTACTATTTTTATGGTACTGTCGATCGTTCTGACCGTGACTTTCCATGGCTGATGTGCTGTATGGAAGCCAGGACCATCGAATGTCCAGAAAACCTCGCTCCTTTCAGCTCTGAGATGATACAGTCGTGGTACCGTATCACGCACCACATCTCCACTCACTGGGAGGGTCTCCGAGCGCATGTCGCCAGGGAATTGGGCAAAGTAACTTACTTCAACATGTTCATCTTCCAGCGCGCATTGACTGAAACGTTACCCGCTACAACAAACTAACTACAGTACTAACCAAGGCCGCAAGCTCATTCAAACGACCTTTACCGATCCTTTGTATTTTTAGAAACATTTTTGTGCGAATCTGAAATGATTGTTCGCTCATCAATGAGTCATCATGCTCATGATAATGAGCTCATGCAGTTATGGGCTGCATGCACCTTCTTTGCCTTGGCTTTGCCTTTGCCTTTGGTTTTAGCTTTGGCTTTGCGGCTTTGGCTCGCCGCGCAGTCACGTGCATGTCCGGGCCGGGCTGTTGTTTGATAATGTTCGATCCAGAGTCAGAGAGCCCAACGCGGCTACGGTATGTGTAGGGCTCCCTGGATCGATGGATCGATGGTCATGGTTCACAAGTATGAAGTAATGCCTAATGCAAGTAATGCCAGTAATGGTTGTTTCTGACGTCTTCCCGGTTTAGAAAAATGTCAAGTCAGAGACCTTTTTCAGTTCCTGCAAATGACGTGAAGTGCCAGCTTCGGCAGCTAGCGCTAATACTAGTGACATGCACATGATGCAGAAGAAGAGACGGGTGGATGCACAGCGCCAGCGAATGCTTGGTGACAAGTAGAAGTTGTTTATCATTCTACTCTTGATGATGGGCATTCTATGCACATGCACATGTACATTGCGGTTGTTCCCATTCTCTGACCTCTACTAGCTCTGGTTTCCAACTAACTTTCCACAGGGATGGTGAGTCCATACATCCTGTACACACACCTTGTACACACTCTCTCTAACGGTCTCTAGGCTACACTGCAATTGATATACATTAGCTCAAATTTTCGGGCAAGGCCCATCATCAGGAATAACTTATTCCTGATGATGGGCCTTGCCCGAAAATTATATATCAATATATCAATTGCAGTGTAGCCTAGAGACCGTTAGAGAGAGTGTGTACAAGGTGTGTGTACAGGATGTATGGATTCAAGTATTGGCTACAGTGGAGTCTCCAAACCTTGAGAAAAGGGATGGTGAAAGTAATCATCAATTACGGTACTAATAGCGCTAGCGACTTGTGCTCTCTCTCTCTCTCTCTCTCTCTCTCTCTCTCTCTCTCTCTCTCTCTCTCTCTCTCTCTCTCTCTCTCTCTCTCTCTCTCTCTCTCTCTCTCTCTCTCTCTCTCTCTCTCTCTCTCTCTCACTCTCTCTTTCTCTCACTCTCTCTCTCTCTCTCTCTCTCTCTCTCTCTCTCTCTCTCTCTCTCTCTCTCTCTCTCTCTCTCTCTCTCTCTCTCTCTCTCTCTCTCTCTCTCACTCTCACTCTCTCTCTCTCTCTCTCTCTCTCTCTCTCTCACAAACACACACACTCTCTCTCTCTCTCTCTCTCTCTCTCTCTCTCTCTCTCTCTCTCTCTCTCTCTCTCTCTCTCTCTCTCTCTCTCTCTCTCTCTCTCTCTCTCTCTCTCTCTCTCTCTCTCTCTCGCATGCCTTGTGCCCACAGTTTCTCCATGTTACAGTAGTAGTTATTTCTTCATTTTCTACAAAACATACTTCAAATGTCATTTCATTTATGAAGCCCATGGCTTTATACTGGAACTAAGACTAGCTTTTTAATCGATCCATGGCTTTAAGGACATACGGGTAAATAACCTTCCCCTCGGCAAACCTGCAAGAAAGCACAATTCCTGCTCAAAACACAGTGTTTCGGGGAATTCACCCCTCACCAGTTGAGCTTGAGTAGGCTGAGGAAGATTATGCCTGAAGAGCACCACTTATAATCTCCAGGCAAAAACATCACCAGGGATACAAACTTACCGCGACGCTCCGTTTCCAGCGGGACAAACACATCGTGAACACCAGATAGCAGCGTGAGTCAGTGTGGCTCATAGAGGTGCTGGACCTCCATGAGCGATACTGGGGATGTTTTTGCCGGGAGAGCACTATAATATTATAAGTGGTGCTCTTCAGGCATAATATTCCTCAGCCTACTCAAGCTCAACTGATGAGGGGTGAATTCCCCGAAACACTGTGTATTGAGCAGGAAGTGGTGCTTTCTTGCAGGTTTTCCGAGTCGAAGGTTCGATGGACTTCTCGTGTGCTCTGGATGGCAGTCGTGAGTCATTCAAGTCAGCAGGAAAAGCGCGACCTCCCATGTAGGGAGCAAAACACAATTCTCCAAGTATCGTCATAGTCGCACCGACATTTTAGTAATACTACTGCCAATATACGTGCAGTGCCGGTCCCAAGTTACCCAGATAAGATCAAAGGTGAGTGCTACTGTACGAGGTGATCTGCTATTATGTAGCAGTATTCATTATTATGTAAAAAAATGAGTAAATTGTGCATTCCTCGGGTATGTTGAGGCCAACCCGCAATTTATTTTGACCATCTGGACAGGAGCTATCCTGTCGAGGCTTCAGCTGACAAAATATTGGCGTCATGGAAGGCCGGCAAGGCCTGTTGAAGCGAGCTCACTATTATGATTTGCAGGAATTGGATAAAATTAGTAAATTATCTCAATGTTGACGTCCCCACATGTCAGTCATCATGTGTATACCACTAAAATCGATAGAGAGCAATGTTACAAAGTGGTAAGCCTCTAAGTTAGGAACTCAATGTGGTGATTATGTGGATGGGAAATGTCTTTTGCATTCATTTTTTTATAATTACGGTATACGTTTATCAGCAGTGCTCAACAGCGACTATAGTCAAGGAGCAAGGTTGGCCAATAACTCCCATTGTTCTCTCTTTTCGTAGCTGTTGGTCGTCCAGGCATTCGCCCATGCCGCTCTTGTTTGTATAGAACGTCTCACAATGATATCATTATTCTGATGAGCTCAGGTTCCTAGGAGACCGATTGCGGTGGCGTGACTTTTGAATAGATCGGCACAACTTCAATATTCGTATCGCCTACATGTAGCCGAGATGTGGTCGAATAAAAAAAATGCCGTTTGACACTTGCAGCACTTGGAGAACTGGTACATGGTGCCTGTAGGCTGTAGGTCTACCTAACGTCCTTGCAAATGCGTTTTTTCAGGGCTGTGAGTGACATTCCCGGGTACGCGTGTAGACCGTTACTTTACTCAATGTTCAGGGGCGTCGGAAGGTAAGCTACAAGGTAGTGTGGTACGGTCAGCCATCTGAAGTACAATTCACTCGTGTGGGAGGGATGGATGAGGCGAAATTTTTGGAAATTTAAAGCCCAAATCAGTGCATTTTATTGATTCACAGGGTACTTGGGGCAAATAGTGGTACGGTCAATACCGTAGTGACCGTACCGTGTCCGACGCCCCTGATGTTACATTATAGTCCACCTACTTTCATGGCCTCAAAACCACACACTTCCTGCAGGATGACATTAAATTTTGGTACCGGTACCTTTAGAGACGGCCGACCAGGCCAGATATTATGGTGAGTGTACAACAGAAGACCAAACTAACTGTTACTTCAACTAACGTTGCTACTTCATACATGTAGCAACAGTTGACACAATCATTATCATGATTGTGGTCCCGGAAAGTAGAGAAAAATAGAAAATTTACAACCATGCGCAGATCGCCTCCATTACTTGATAATTAGTTGATTGTCATGTACATTGTATAAGTCTTGGTTTCTTACATTAGTTGAGGTCAAAGGTCGAAAGGTCAAACTGTATAGCCACCAAACACAACGATTTCCCTCACTCGTATTACCAAGACTGGCAAGAGTAGATAGATACCGGTACTAGTAAACAGTTTATCTACTCTTGGTATTGTACTTACATGGAAACCAAGACTTGCGCAATCAACTCTGAAAAAAGCACCGACTCGTCAGTTCATATGCCGTTGAGAGTGTTTTCATTCATTCAATGATTTAGCCGATAAAAACCTCAGGAATTAGGAAGCTTTCCACGCGCAGTCAAAGTAACGTTAGTTTGCTTTTCGCCTTCAGAACTTAGAAGCTACCCTACTTCACGGTCAGGTCTAGTTTAGGTGAAATGGCCTCTTCGTCTTCGCGGTATCTTCTGTTGGCGCTGTGCCTGGCTGCTCTGCAGCTAGCGTCTCTTGCAAGCGCTCAGGGGGAACTGCGAACAGACGGTTTGTGCGTCAATGGCACGAAGCACAAAACTCGTCCAAGTCCTGAAGGGTCGGACTACGCCGAATGCCACAACTACAAGCAAAGCTCCTGCTGCACAGCAAACTTCACCAAAGTCCTCGCCCAGGCCACGGTGACGCACATCGAAAACTTTCACTGGGGGCGATGTGGAAATTTGAGCAAGGCCTGCGAGGACTTCATGATTCACGTTGAGTGCTTCTACAGATGCAGTCCCAATGCAGTGCACTGGGAGGGTGAATTCTCTTCGTCCATAACGGGAGTGCCGATTTGCTCCGGATTCTGTGACGACTGGTTTGCTGCCTGCCGCCGGGAGATGAGTTGTGCAACGAATTGGATATTCGACTACAACACAACCGCTTCAGGGGAGAATTACTGTAGCACGGATTCAACTTGCATGACCTGGGAGCAGCGCTATGGCAATGCGACTAGCATGTGCAATACACTCTGGGGCACGTCGTTCAAGTACACCAGCGATACAGCAAACTGCATCCAGCTGAACGGCACTAATCTGCTGATGCGGAACACGGAAGTGGTGAACCGCCTCTTCTCCAGTGGATCTACTCCATTACCTCTGCCCGTTGCTGTTCTTTTAGCAGTTCTTGCACTCGCATTGCTTGCTTGAGATTGGCATCGATTCGATTGGGGCCGCTGTAGGGAACGTCATCATGTGTCTGAGCCGGCGGTTCGAGGTTCATGCGGACTGAGAGCTGGTGAGTGTTTGGTTACGCCCCCGCCCATGGCTAGGTTGAATATGGAGACTGCATCTACACGAACAGCTCCGACGTTGCTTCCTGTGTGCTGGTACAGGATAGCAGGCGCTCGGATTCGCTCGTGCGCACGCGCGAGTGCGTGTGTCACTGTGTGTGTGTATGTGTGTGTGTGTGTGTGTGTGTGCGTGCGCGCGTGTATGTGTATGTGTGTGTGTGTGCGTGCGCGCGCGTGTGTGTCTAAGTGTATGTGTATCATGTGTTTGCGGGGTTCACGCGGTCTTTTCCGCGAGCGATCGGTTCGGCATCCGGAGTCTGCTGAGCTGGTTGTCGCCGAGGCCTAGGTTGCTCGCATGTGAGAATCTATTAATTGCAGCATATTATTTGTATTATAAACACTGGACATGGATACTGGATAACCGTACTCAGTACCTCTTTACATTTTACAGGCTATGTTTTATTATTATTATTATTAACTGGTTTGAGGGAAAGAGACAAACGGGAAAAGGTCTGAAGAAAAAATTGACTGCCACCACCAGGACTCGAACCAGGGACCCTCGCTTGTAGCCAGCGATGCTCTAACCACTGAGCTATGGTGTAGTCGTTATCCCAGCAGAGGCCGTTCAACATTTTCTTCAGACTTCGTAACATATTATTATTATTATTATTATTATTAACTGGTTTTGAGGGAAAGCTTTCCTTTTGATGGTGCTTTCCTTTTGATCTTGTCTCTTATTGTTGTGTACTTTCCACAATATTGGGTTGCAATGTAAGAACATACAAAAAAAGTCTGAGTGTATGTGCGTGTACATGTCCGTATGTGTTGTGGCAATTTTCCGTACGTGCAAGCGGGTGCCTGCAGGTCTATACAAGAGCTTCCCCGCATGCAAGTGTATGGCTTCGTATGGAACCCAATGTGTGTGTGTGTGTGTGTGTGTGTGTGTGTGTGTGTGTGTGCATGTGTGCATGTGTGGTGGTGTATCTATGTGTGTGTGTGTGCGTGTGTGTGTGTGTGTGTGTGTGTGTGTGTGTGTGTGTGTGTGTGTGTGTGTATCAGAGTCCTTCGCGAGGCCTTGCAAGCCCGCGAGTGGAGCAAACTACCGCACGAAGACGACAACTTGGAACGACTCTAAGCATTGGCTCATGGAATGTTTGCTCTGTTGTGGAGAGTGATGGACCTGTTCGAGTGGCCGCCGTGAGAGGAATCGTTTCCGACGATAAGAAAATCTTTCAAATAGTTGAACATCTTGACAATGTGTGTGTTCTCTGCTCTGGTGGAGGACGGTTGTACTTTTTCGGGCTCTTGTTTCTGGCCTCCGTCCGTGCTTGTTCTCGCCGTTGTGGACGGCCTGGGGTGTCCCCAGCCGTCCAGGCCAACAGTGCCTGAGGTGGGGTATTCACTGACAGGAGACTTGGTCGGATAGTTCCGATGCCGACACTCTCCTCGTCGCCCCGACCTCGGAGTCCTTCGCGAGGCTTTGTAAGCCCGAGAGTGGAGCAAACTACTGCACGAAGACGACGACTTGGAACGACTCTGAGCGTTGGCTCATGGAATGTTCGCTCTGTTGTGGAGAGTGATGGACCACTTCTAGCGGCAGCCGTGAGAGGAATCGTTTCCGATGATAAGCAAGATCCATAGCTGCTGGAGATGGCTCTCTCAAACATGGTCCCGCTCGTCGTTCTTTATTGTCGGCCCCGTAAGGGGACACGTGACCGTAATGGCAGTGTTTACCAGGACCAGGACCAGGCGTGTGTGTGCGTTTGCATGTGTGTGTGCATGTGTGTGTGTGTGTGTATGTGTGTGCGTGTGTGGTAGGGACCGGCGGATTCTGCTCGAAAAAGGTGGCAGATTCTGCTCGAAAAGCAGTGAAATTGGCAGAACCATACAAACCTTATGCCGGGCAATTCCTCGAATTCTGCTCCATTTCTTTATCCACATACCAAACATGCATGAAACTTGACAGAAAAAGTACCGAATTCTGCCAATTTTTCTGCCGGCAGAATCCGCCGGACCCTAGTGTGTGGTGGTGATGGTGGTGGTGGTGTGTATCTGCGTGTGTGTGTGTGTGCACTCCATGTACATTGTACAGTACATGTGCAATGTACAGTACTGCTCAATGAAATCCAGTCACGTGACTCAAGTACACGCCGGGCGTTGCGCAGCCCTAGACCTGCGAACACTGGGCTGCAAAATGGTGCAAGGTGCAAACTTGAGTGACGCGGCTGGATTTCATTGAGCAGGACTGTACATGTATACATTGTATGCTATGTATACACATGGACGATATAACTGCAGTACTGCAGTTATATCGTCATACTAACAGCACTGCCTAACCTCATCTCACAATCGCTTTCTGTGCAACAGCGCCTTTGATGATCGGTCTTTTAAAAATGGTATTCAATATTATACTTGAAGTATATTTCTGCTAGCATACTGGCCCTGTGGTTGCATACATGTACATGTGTACATGTAAATGCAAACTGTATCGTTCAATGCACTACAAGTACCAACTAGTCTGGCTTCAGGGAATGATATTTTCCAACACCTTCCGGCACGGTACAAGGGGGTTATCTTTTCTAAATATTTAAATCCTAGTGTGTACCACATGCCTGGAGACCCCTACAGTGTGCCCACTTGAACCACTACTGATACTGATGCTGCTATTGATACTGCCTTTACTAGACTTTAGCTGCAGCTCTCCAGGCGTCTAGACCTGACCACCACGATCACTAATAATAATAATAATATTATTATTTTGACGACTACACCATAGCTCAGTGGTTAGAGCATCGTTGGCTACAAGCGAGGGTCCCTGGTTCGAGTCCTGGTGGTGACAGTCAATTTTTTCTTCAGACTTTTCCCGTTTGTCTCTTTCCCTCAAAACCAGTTAATATTATTATTATTATAATATTATTATTAATTTTGTGAGACCTGCAAAAAGCTGCATGCCAATGGCAAAGGGATCGTGCATGATCAGTGCTGTCCAGGTGTGATCTGCGTGCAGTGCATACTTTGTGAAGTAGCCCTGTAGATAACTGAAGTGGATAATAAAAGGGATTTCAGTTTTTGACTCCCTCCCTAGCTAGGTGAGGCCCTGATCGTGACATTCCGAGTCGTGGTCGGATACGCCCGATGCACGATGCACATGTACGTTGGTCCATGGTAGCTCTTCTAATATTAATACTAGTAGATTAATTTTAATGGTTTGAGGGAAAGACGCAAACTGAAAAAGTCTGAAGAAAAAATGACTTACCGTATATTCTCATTATAAGCGCTGTGCTTATATTTTTTCAACACCCCTCTACCCCGTGCTTATATTGGAGACCGCGCTTACATGTATATTTTTTCAACCAATACATCCATACAGAGCAAGAAGAAATACATGCTAGATATCATGCATGCCGCATTGATTTCCAACAAGACCGTGCTAATAATAGAGACTGTGCTTATAATGTTTCGAAAGGTGCCCACCGGTTTATCGGGTGTTAGCGGCCGTCGTGAGTTCCCTTCGGGAACGGATACGATAATTTACTTCTTTTTTTTCACAGCGTGCTAGTATTAGAGACTGTGCTAGTAATGGAGACCTGTGCTTATAATAGAGAATATACGGTATACTAATGAGAAAGGACCAAGGAACTACAAGTTACGCTATAATGTCCACTATAAACACCACCAGTTAGTAAACAATCAGCTCATGCGATAACATTGCACGACACTGACCGACGGTACTGACGTTGACGGTACTGACGTTCTACAAGACTTACATAACTGGCTAACAGCTCTAGCACATCTAGCACAGCTATGTTATCATGTGACTGCTAGGTTTCCTGATCGAAAACATACAGAGGAGGCAGCACCACCGGCAAAATGACCCAGGAGGACGACAGCGAACTACGCCAGCAACAACAGCACGGTCACAGGAAGAAGCAAGTATCATGAGAAGGGTCAACCTGTAAAGAAACGGAGTATGGTCAGCCGGACAACGAGGACAAGGGAGGACGATGATGGTGATGGTTCGGACGATGAAGAGGAAGCTAATGGCAATGACAAGGAGGTGAGTGAAGAGAGTGACGATGTCGATGCCGATGGTGACGGCGGTGATCAGGATGACAATGACGAATAAGCGAAAGGTGATGATGGTGGTGATGGTGATTGCGATGATGAAGATGATGAGAAGTGGAAGAAGAAGTAGGCCGTGTACAAGTATTTTGTTCTTGAATCAGCGCTGTATGATGATTCCTGGTTCAGTATTGCATGTCTTGTCTCGTAATGTTCCGAAGGTGTTAGAAGCTGTTTACATTCACGAACGTCACCTGACCTATTCATTCAGAAGGAATCAGTCACTACACTGACACTATTTCCGTAGTTCCCACAGTCTAGTCCTACATTTGTATGTTTAGTCCTTCAAACCATCCACATGCATCATCTCGTCAAGTTTAGTCCTTGTTTTTCTTCTTCTTTCTGCACTTGTTTTCCCATCACCACACCACAATCATTTTCCTGTTAGTTTACATTGTACATTTGGCATTGTTTCACCTGCATGTATCTCCTACATGTAAATGTTTCGCTTTTAAAATGTTTCACCTTCTCTGCATTAATAAGCATGTTCCTTTTTTTGACACACACAATTCCCCTACTATCGCCGAAGTCGCACCGACCTCTTCTTCACATTGTTGTCCCCAGCACGGGCTTGCGAATTAGATGGTTTGGAGGCAACAGCGTAGTGAATGGCCAACGGTCCTCAGCGCTTATTCTGCACCTCCATGAGCGACACTGACTTACGCTGCTATCTGGTGTTCACGAGGTGTTTGTCGCCCTGGAAACGGAGCGTCTGCTGCGTCTCGATAAGTTTGTGCCTGGTGATGTTTGTGCCTGGAGAGCACTATAAACATGGACATGTACATGTAAGTGGTG